AAAATTTACGCCCTAAATTAACTAAACAGACAATTCTACCCCAATAACTAAAACGGAAACCCCCAATTTTCAAAACTCTCTGCCAGCCATCGCCCTGAATCCCGCACCCAGTGACAATTCCGAGGTCGCCGGCGATAAATCCCTAACCCAGAATTGCCAATCCCGTCCGTCACAGGTGATAATCCCTCTCAGCGCGGTCTCTTCTCTTCTCTATCTATCCCGTTGCCGGCGATCTCTGTTGCTGCTCCGCTCAGTCGTCGTTGGGGATGGAGGCGCCCGTCGCCGTTGAGGATGAGGCGCCCGTCGCTGTTGAGGAAGGAGAGGGAAGACCGAAGCGGCTGGTTGTTGCTGCTCCGCCCGTCGCCGGTGAGGAAGGAGAGGGAAGGCTGAAGCGGATGACTGCAGTTGCTCCTCCCATCGCTGTTGAGGAAGCAGAGAGGTCTCCTTCTCTGCTACTGTTGCGGCCCGTTCGTTAAGGAAGGAGAGAGAAGACAGATGGTTGGGTTCCCGGCCTGTCCCTTTGATCTGCAGGTTCGTAAACTGCGTCAAGTTCATCCCTGTCGACTTCATCATCTAATGTGTCTGTGTTAACAGACTCCAACTCAGCAGCCCTCTCATCATCTTCATCCTCCACATATGCCTTGTATGTTAGCCGAACCAGCACTTCTCCTGCAGATCCCTTCCCGAATAGCACCCTTGAAGAACCACAATCCTATCTGTTGGCACCGTGTCTTGCAGAGACACAAGGTCAACCTGCAAATCAAATCAACCACACAGCTGAAAAGGATTCACTGCATCCATTATCGTCCGTTGGTTTTGGTAGCCTATGGAAGACTTCCTCAGACGAAGGCGGCGACGGCGTGAAAGCTAGGGCGAATTTTTTTTAGGGATTGGAAATTTTTGGGGGCAAAAAAGTCAAATTATCACGTTAGGGCGATAAATTTTTAAAAACTTAGGGCGTTAATTAGTACCTCTCTAATATAATACACCGAAGGGAAAAACGGGAGCCCCATTTTCAAATTTCCTGCAACGAGGGTGAAAGTAGGAAGGACATTTTGGTCTTCACAATTATTTTTTTCTTTATTCATTAAAAAGACATACTGAGATTCGAACCATGACCATTTTAAAGAAAAGCAAGGATCATAACCAATCACACTAAGTACATTTGTTGTATCTTTATAAATTAAAAACATATAATAGCAGGGAGGAAAAAACCCTTCCCCCATTTCAAATTCCCTGCTCCATGCGCGTTTGTAGGAAGGGTAGAATAGGGAGTGTCAATTTTTTTTCTTTCATCTGTGGAACGGACCAACTTACCGTACACATGCGGATTTAAACGGGTCCAGGAGTGTCAATTTTTTTCTTTTAAGCCTTTTTATTTCTCCCTGGTGATAAAATATATATGAAAAGGCAAAAACAATACTCGATTTTATTGCTAAAAATAAAAAATTTAACAATAAACTAATGCATGGTATCTAATGGGCTAACCGCTAACCATAAAATAAAAGAGTTGAATGGGTCTGACCTACACGGGATTTGGCCATCAAGTAAAACAAATGAACATCATTGGTTTGTCATTCTAAAACAAGCTATTTTCTCTGGCATAATATATATTATGCTATTATTTTATATCTTAGTGGCTAAAATATAATGTATTTTAAAGTTATTCAATGGTTCAACCTCGACCAACCGAATTAGTCCAATTTTTATCATTTCAAATAGGAATGGCAATGGGGCAGGTCCGGGGCGGGTATCTCGATACCCATACCCGCCCCATGACAGGTCGGGTCCAGGTCGGGTAATTTATCACGGGGCGCGGGTAGGGGCAGGTCGACCCGTTGGGTATGTAATTATGCGAAAAACATTAGAAAAATTCGTTATTTTCATTAAAAGACCAAGAAAGAAACCATAATATGATAAAATGTAGTTAAATTATTGAAGAAATTGAGGTTTTCACTTATTTACAACTTTATTATAGCTAAAATATAATGTAATAAGAGGAAAATCCTAAGTAATTTAAGTAAGATTATATGTAATATAGGCAAGAACGGGTCGAGAATGGGGCGGGTCAGGGCAGGTCGGGTCGATGAGAGGTACCCATGCCCGCCCCGCCTACGGGGTGGGTTTGACCTGCTCCAAAATAGGTCAAACATGTCGGGTAAATCGGGTCAGGTCGAAATTGTCATCCCTAATTTCAAATATATATTATATAATTATTTGATATCATAATGATCAAATTATAGTGTATTTTATAGGGAATCGTTTGGTATTTGTTAGTAAAAAACTAAACAGAACGATCTATTTGGTTATTTTAAACATTAAAACGATCCTAAACCATTTCAGTTCCTTTTGAATTTTTATGGTTTTATTCTCGAATAAGTGATGTGCAAATGGCGAATTGCAGTCATCTCTTTTCTTTCACTATTTTTTATTTTCAAATAGAAAGTTTAAAAGTAAAGAATAATTAGAAGTTGGCATGGGTCGGCCAAACATGCTGAATTTCAAGTTTTGGCCCGTTTTGATCAAGTCTAATTTATAATCACATGGTTCCTTGATACCCGATAAAAATCTCAATCCAAACCAGTTTGGCAGGTGAGTCTGTGTTTACCACCATTTTCTAGGATATGACAACGGCGGTTCCTATCCCAAATTGTGTTATTCGTTCTTGATTTTCTTAGATTTTATCATGGCCTAACAAAAACCAGAAAGCACAATGACGACAAGATGAAAGTTTTATAAAGCAAATTAATCGACCAACGGGCCGAGTAAAAGCTAGCAACGATTGTGAGATGCTCATTTCCCGAAAACCGACGGGATAGGCGATTTTTTATTCGATTTTCTGGAATTCGATTTCTATGAAACTTACTCCACCTCATCATATTACCAGAAACAATATTGTTTCACAAGGTAACATGTACTTGATTTTGGTTCATAAGGCCGATTTTTGATTCATTGCATCATTCATGTCTCTTTCCTGCTAAAATTCACTATTTTTATCACGAATTTCCCCAAAAAAAACTATACAATAATAAGCTATACACCCCATTATATTATCAAATTTCATACCTCACCTTCCTCCGGCCAACTGGCCGGGGCCCACACTAGTATAAGAATAATAAGGAATAAAGTGTTAATATAAGGAGGGGAAACTTTCCCCTATTTGATGGACCAACATTTGAATTCCCTTATTATTAAGTCTAATAAGTCTGGTTTCCCATCTCCCATAAGATGTTGTTGATAACATTAGTGTCTTGTCTAGATTTTGCTTATGAGAATATAGCAGGATCATTGATTGACAATCAAAGTCTAGGGTATAGCAAATATCATTTTTTATCTATGTTTTGAAAATCAAAGTCTGGATTTACTTTAAATTAAGTATAGTAACAAAATCACAACTCATAAGGATATATGGTTAGGGTATATGGTATGTGGTTAGTGTATAGGGTACATGGTTAGTGTATATTGTATAGATGGTTTAAGGTATACGATGAGCAACATATACTAACTTAATATTGTCGATTAAGGGTAAGGGTTAAGTGTATAGGATATATGTTATTGAGTAAGTTATGATTGAAGTCACAACAATTTTACTAAATTTGATAGTTAATCTTTAATGGTTAAATAGTTTGGGTTATTCGAAAAATTTTACAAAAACTTGTTTGACAACATTTTACTGAAGTTATTTGGGCAATGAGTTATTTCGAAATAGCTCCTTTTACAACTCTGCATTTGCCAAATACCACACACCAAATACCAGTGTATGATTATACTAATCGAGAGACTTTAATCCAATTACTATTGAAATAATACTAAAATACCAAATAAACAATTAATGATGTCTTTTGGTTGCAAATGTTTATATCATCATTACTATTAGCTAGTGTACTTTATCAATTACTATTAATTACATAACAAGTTTGCAAGTCATATAAATTTATTCAACATTGTGAAAAATATTTTAAGTTAGTGTAATAAAATGTGTAAGTTGGTAACTAGTAAGGAGTAAGTAACTCGATGCGCTGACCCGAACAACCCGCAACCCGATCCGCCTGCAACCAGCCTGACCCGAAATCCGATGAACCCGCAACCCATAACCCGATTGAACCCACAACCCGACTAACCTGCAACCCGATTGAACCCAACCCGAACCAGCCCGATTGACAACTCCACACTTTAAAATTTTGGAGTCAATAACCGACGAAATAAGAAAAATAACCTAGCAACTTCATCGGGTCAAATCTTGAAAGAAAACTAAATCACAAAACAATACTTATCAAGTAAAGATCTTTCTTGGACAATGCTCATATGATCATCTCGTCATCTCATCTAGGAGTAGGAATAGCAACCAACGGTTTGGCCTTTTCTAAAGTAATTCCAAATTTCTCTCTCATATCCAAACTTTCGGGTTCTACTCCAACCGGCAGCTTCCAATCAAACCAATGAATCAATGAGCCCAATATCATATGCAACATCCTCATCGCCAACAACATTCCAGGGCAGATCCTTCTTCCTGCTCCAAATGGAATCAACTCGAAGTTGTTCCCCTTAGCATGAACCTCTAATCCCAAGAACCTTTCCGGAATGAACGAATTCGGATTGTTCCATGTTACCGGATCCCGACCTATAGCCCATGCATTGACCATAATTTGTGCACCTTTGGGGATGGTGAAGCCGTGAATCTCGACTTCTTCTCTTGCCTGGCGAGGGAGTAGCAGAGGCACAGCAGGGTGCAATCTGAAAGTCTCTTTGAGGATTGATTGTAAATAAGGTAATCGAGAGATATCAGACTCTTGAAGGTGATTGTTTTTTCCAATTATCTTATCTAACTCTTCCTTCGCTTTTGTGAGTATACTTGGATTTCGTAGCAGCTCTGTCATTGCCCATTCTAGCGTATTTGTGGTTGTATCAGTCCCGGCTATGAATAAACTCTGAGGCGGAAAAACATACATAATTGAGTAACGTTTCAAACTTTGTCTTCTCTACATTTTTAACATATTCGGTTAATTGAATTTGACTTTGAAAATACTCACAAAGAACAAGTGCTTAATGCGCTCGGCATCCATGGAAGCCTCCTGATTGTCATCCCCAATGGCCAAAAGCGTATCCAGTATGTCGTTACCAGAGAAATAGCACTCCGAGTTCCGCCTCCTCCGCAACCGTTCGTCGATCACCGAGCCGAACAAATCCAAAATCTTCCCCAAATTGATCCCCACCCTCCTCTGTATACCCTGCAAATCCATTCTCGCTAGAGCAGGGAAATAGTCGCCCAAATTGGGCTTCCCGCCGTCCTCAATGATCTGCCGCCCGGCCTCCTTGAATTCTCTGGCGGTCTCCGAACCTTCCTCATCCGCCAGATCCAACGAAAAAATGGTCCTCGACAGAGCATTCAAAGTGGTCCTGAACACTGCTTCCCCGACATCCACCGCTTTCCCTCCCTCACAGTAATTTCGTCGAATACCTTCCAGGAGCTCTTCAATCTTCTCCCTCCGCAGCTCCTGGTTCGAATCCAGCTTCTGGGTAGTGAAGATGTACGAGTTGCAGACTTTTCTGAGGTTCCTCCACTTGGATTCCACGGGGAGCCACGACATGCCGAACTGGTGGTGGTCGAGCGGTCGCGCGGCGAGGATGACGTAGCGGTCGGAGAGTGCATGGTCGTGCTTCTGGAGGATTTCCTTGGCTACGGCAGGGGAAGAAGCGACGATGGTGGTGACTTGGCCGAGCTTGAGGCTCATCAAGGGGCCGTGAATTTGGGCTAGATCGGCGAGCGATTTGTGAGGCTGGTCGCCCAGGTTGTGGAGGTTGCCTATTATTGGAAGCCGGGTGGGTCCCGGCGGGAGTTTGCCGGAGGTTCTGTTGGCTTTTCTGGTCAGGAAATGGAAGATGGTGAAGGGAAGGCAGAGCAGGCAACCCAGGAAAAGGAAGAAATCCATTTCTTTGGTGGTTTTGGTGTTGCAGGTAGGGGTTCCAATAACTCACTAACCAAGAGAGTTATCTCAGCTTCAACTGCAAAAAAGTCAACACATAGCCCATCAAAAAAAGTCAACACATATCTCATTGGTTAATCTGTAATTATCTCATCACCATGTGGCAGCTCACCTGTCACAGTGTCACAACCACCTCTCATGGACGTTGACCATCTCAAATATCACCAGCATAACACCCAAGTTCAAATCTTATTCATCTGGGTGATTGTAAGTTTTGCATTCCAGGTTAATCAGACTGGAGTCGTTTTTTAGACCTGGTGGAAATTGAGATGGGAATGTAAGGAAAGTATACAGGTACTAGAATGTACTTGGCAGTGTTTCGTGTTTTTACAAAATGTAGACATTCATTTGATAAATGTAGTTTATGATTTGACAATATCAAAATTTTGACCATGAAACCGTATCGGAGATCGTATCGAAAAAGTTAGTGGTAGGCTATTTTATGACAAAACTGTGGTTTAACCGTAGTTCAACCGTTAGTACTGTTAAATACCGCCTACCGGTTTAGTCTCCGATACTAGTATTTTGTGGTTGAACCTAGGGCTGGGAATCCAGACCAAACCGTATGGAAAAACGCGGTTTAGACCGTATCGTATGGTTTGGTCTGGACCGTGAGACCAGAACTATGGTCTGGTCTGGTTTGCGGTCTCCTCCTTTAGTGCGTGGTCTGAAGTGGTCTGGACCGCGGTCTACCGCAGTAAACCGTAACAGACCGCGACACCCACCTACTACATTGGACAAAAATAACACTAAATTGAACCACCATATGTGTATTTGAAGAACAAAGTTAGTTGATTCTTCATCCAGTTGAGAGCCAACAAATTGCAAAAGGATCGCTTATATGTTATCTCCTTATCAAAGTACCACACAAAAAAATCAGAAAGACTCATAAATAATATTCACAGATAATGTCTAGACTATGGAGTCGATAAAAATTAAACACTACAAAAAACTCGTTCACCTTGATGAGATAAGGAAAATTATTGAGAGATATGCGACCATCTTAGTGGTTCGAAATTGCCTCGACGTCATCAAAAAAGTTATCAACTGGGAGAAGCTTCGGATCACTCGAGAGAGGAGAGAAGCGGTTGCACAAAGAGGAATAGGGAAATAAGGCTATTTGAAAATTGAAAAAAACCCACTTCTATCCTCATTTTTCTTCTCATTTAATACGATCACAATTTTTTTGTTTCACTAGCATATTGGTCACTAGATTTTTTTTATAGATACCGGCGAAGGGTTGGAGGGCGAATAAGAGTTAATTTTTTTTTAACATGGTCTGTCTGGTCCAGACCGTACCGGACCGCACCGCACAGGTGTGGTCTAGTCTGGACCGTATAGTATATGGTCTGGTCCATGGTCTGTGTTCCAACCTCTCGGTCTGGACCACATACCGTATCTATGGTCTGGTCTGGACCGGACCGCACCGTTTCTCACTTGAACCGCCGGTACGGTACAGTTTCATGGACCATGAAATTTTCAAATATGTTATTAGTTAAAAAGATTTTAGAAGAGTCAACTTTCAATGAGGCATTTTTATAGTGTTACAATTTTTCCTTACATTTAATATTTAAATGTTTCATTTTTCTTGTTTGTTATTCTAATAAAGTCAAGCACGAAAATAAAATTCATTTTACCACCAACATATTCAATCATTTTTGGGTATTAGCCATATGTAGTAATACTACCTTCTATTTATGAAGGATAATTTTATGTTAACTTTCCTAACAAATTGCAACGGTTATAAAGCATATCACCATTTACAAACAAACATAACATATATGTGAAACCAATATTCAAAATAATAATAATTTTTTACTAGGAATAATTGAAAAGTATTATTAAAAATAATTGTAAAGTATCGATAGAATAGTTCCACTTGTTTAATTCAGCTTACAAAGGTTTTATTTTGTACTTCCTATCTACTATTCCTTTACGAGTCGAAAATCCATGAAAAAAAAAAAACTAGTTCCACTTGTTTTATTATCAAACTAGTCCCACATGCTTGAATAAAAATGTCCCATTGAGTTTGATATGAAATGCAATCGATCCCAATGGATTGACCCGGTGGGGATGGGAACATCCACTACATGGTGGATTAGAATTTTGGGGCCATTAACCAACGAAAAGATAAATGAAATGGGCAAAATGCCATCAAAATCACTCAATAGTATATTTTGACATAAAGAGCTCTCTCGGACAATGTCATGTCATCGTTTGATCACAATCTTATCTAGGAGTCGGGATAGCAAGTAAAGGTTTGGCCTTTTGCAAAGTGAGTCCGAACTTCTCTTCCATATCTAACTTTTCTGGCACAATTTCATCTGCCAACTTCCAGTCGAACCAATGAACGAGTGAACCCAGCATCATATGCAACATTCTCAATGCTAGTGGCAATCCAGGACATATCCTTCTTCCGCCGCCAAACGGGATCAACTCAAAATTGTTCCCCTTCACATCAACCGACGACTCCATAAATCTTTCTGGCACGAACGAGTTCGGAGCATCCCACGTCGACGGATCTCTGCCTATAGCCCATGCATTCACGAGAATTTGTGCACCTTTGGGCACTGCGAAGCCACAAATTGCCACTTCTGCTCCTGCCTTGCGTGGGAGTAGAAGGGGAACTGGTGGATGCAACCTAAAAGTCTCTTTGATGATTGATTGTAGATATGGTAACTTATGGATATCTGACTCCTGAAGAGGGTTTCCTTTTCCGATAATTTGTTCAAGCTCTTCCTTGGCTTTAACGAGCACATAAGGATTACGAAGAAGCTCTGCCATGGCCCACTCTAGTGTGCTTGAAGTTGTGTCGGTTCCAGCTACAAATAGAACCTGATATGCAACAGGAACAACAAATACCCCATAAAAATAAGGTCAATAATTCGTAAGGCATAGGCATTAGTCGATATAACATTGTTTATTGTTGTAAAAGTATCCAAAATTCGTATCAGAGCCAGATTTGCAGATCCGATTTTTGTCGCTTCATTTCTACTTCACTGCAGGTGACGTTTTCCTTTAGATGTCTCTTTCTTTCAACAATCCTGTTCTCTAATCACTTAATATAGTGTTGATATGACTTGAATCGGACTATCAGCCGCTACGACTGGTAACCGGGGGTCTCGCTAGATTGGATTAGGTTTAGACCCACATGGAGAAGTATTATAAATACTTCTCATACTCCTCTGTAATCTGTAATCTCCTCAGATATAGTGAAACTGGCTCTCTCTCGCCCGTGGACTAGCTAACACACATCGTGTTAGTGAACCACGTAAATCGTGTGTCTGTGTTCTTTCGATTCTCGCTTTCGTATTCTTGCTTTGTCAATCCCTGCGATTTCCCGATCCGTAGCAACGCGTTTATAACAAGTGGTATCAGAGCCTGGGTCGGCGGATCCGGGGCGGTGGACGTCAGTTTGGTGGACCCTCATTCGGTGGCCTCGGGATTTGTGATCCGCGTTCGTTTGGCAGATCAAAGAGAGTTCTGCGTCTGGGCTGTTTGGTGGATCCAGGAGAGATCCACGTCTGTTTGGCGGATCAAAGAGAGTTCCGCGTCTGGAAAAATCCTTGTAACGAGAAGCCCATCGATACAAGGTGTCTGACGGATCAAGATAATCGCTGAGGTGAGGACACGAAATCCGTGGTCCTTGGCTTGAGGGGAGGATTGTTATGGGACAATCCAAGTACCACATCGGTTGTACAAGGAAAGGAATCCTTGTATATAAGTGTCCACCAAGCTCATTAGTACGAGGCCTTTTGGGGAGGACACCCAAGAGTAAAACCGTGCGGGCTTGGCCCAAAGCGGACAATATCGTACTAATTGAGCTCCCCGATTTGACAAGTGGTATCAGAGCCGCGGTTGGAAATCAGGCTAGGGTTTTCGATTCAGAAGAATGACGTCGGTGAACATGAAGATCGAAAAGTTCACGGGGAAGAACAGCTTCGCTATATGGCAGATCAAGATGCAGGCTTTACTAAAACAGCAAGGGCTGTGGGGGCCGCTGTCTGCGAAACAGAAGAAGGCAGCGGTCGATGACGATGAGTGGAATACCCTGGAGGAGAAGGCCCACTCGACCATCATGCTATCGTTGTCTGATGACGTCATCATTGAAGTCGCTGCTGAGAAGACTGCCGCGGGCTTGTGGTTGAAACTAGAGAGTCTGTACATGACTAAGTCTCTACCCAACAAGCTGCATCTCAAGCAACGGTTGTTCAGCTTGAGGATGCAAGAAGGTACGCCTTTGAGGGAACATCTCGAACAACTTAACTCTATTTTGCTGGATCTGCGTAATATAGATGTTCAAGTTGATGACGAGGATGCTGCCCTAATCCTGCTGGTTTCTTTGCCGAGTTCATATGAGAATTTCGTTGATTCTTTTATTGCCGGTAAAGAAAGCGTGTCGTTGGAGGATGTCAGGTCTGCTCTTCATACGAGAGATATCAGACATAAGGCGTCCGGATCTGGTACAGGTGGTGAGGCATCGGGTTTGGCTGTTACAGGTGGAAAGGGAAAGAAGAAATCTGGTAAAGGGAATTCGAGCAAGAATTCCAAGGGTCCCGGTCCACAGCCAGGTGATGCTTGTCACAACTGTAAGGAAGTGGGGCATTGGAAGTACAACTGTCCCAAGAGAAGAGGGCAACAGAAGAAACAAGGTTCAGTTGCCGTGGCAGAAGTAGACAACAGTTCTGAAGACGATCTCGCCTTGGCTGTAGATGAGAAGGCACATCGTGGTGATGTGTGGTTTCTGGATACTGCAGCCTCATACCATATGTCTCCGAACAGGGATTGTTTCACAACCTACGAGCAGATAGATGGTGGTAACGTGGTCATGGCTAATGGAGCTGTCTGCAAGGTTGTTGGAATCGGGTCCATAAAGGTTCGGACACATGATGGTTCGTTCTGTACCGTGAATGATGTCAGGCATGTTCCACGAATGACAAAGAACCTGATCTCCTTGAGTCTACTCGACAGCAAGGGTTTCAGCTTCAAAGGAAAAGGTGGAGTTGTGTATGTCTGCAAAGATTCAAGGAAGGTACTGAAGGGCGTGAAGCGTGGGACCTTGTATGCATTACAAGGGTCTGTGTTGTCTGGTTCTGCTGCAGTTGCATCGTCTCAGGTTCAACAGGAAGATATGACCACTCTCTGGCACATGAGACTGGGGCATATGAGTGAACGGGGGATGCAAGTTCTATCGAAGAGGGATCTTCTTTGCGGGCACAAGGTGCAGAATTTGGAATTCTGTGAGCATTGTGTGTTTGGGAAGCTACATCGCAGCAAGTTTCCCAAGAAGGGTATCCACCGGACGAAGGGGATACTAGATTACCTCCACTCTGACTGTTGGGGTCCTTCACGAGTTGAATCCATTGGAGGCAGCAGGTATTTTCTGTCTATTATTGATGATTATTCGAGATTTACTTGGATTTTCATGATGAAGCAGAAAAGTGAAGCTTTCACGAAGTTCAAGCAGTGGAAGACATTGGTGGAGAATCAAACCGGGAAGAAGATCAAGAAGCTGCGAACGGACAATGGTCTGGAGTTCTGCAGTTCTGAGTTCAACGAATTCTGCAAGGATGAAGGGATTGCCCGTCATCGAACTGTTAGAGATACACCCCAGCAGAATGGCGTTGCAGAAAGGATGAACCAGACATTGTTGGAGAGAGCACGGTGCATGCTCTCTAATGCTGGACTAGAGAGAAGATTCTGGGCAGAAGCAGTAAACATGGCGTGCTTCCTGATCAACCGTGGACCTCACACAGGTATCGAGTGTAAGACTCCTTATGAGGTGTGGTATGGTAAGCCTGCTGATTACTCTTCACTGAAAGTTTTTGGGTGTCCTATTTATTATCATGTGGATGAGGGTAAACTGAACCCAAGGGCAAAGAAGGGTGTATTTGTGGGTTACGGAGATGGAGTTAAGGGATTTCGAGTCTGGTCACCTTCTGAGCATCGAGTTATACTTAGTAGAAATGTGATATTTGATGAGAAGTCTATGTTTAACCCCATGTTGAAGGTTACTGTTGTTGAAGGTAGCAGGAATGTTGATAAACAGGTGGAGCTGCAAACTCTCAATGAGAGTGAGTTTGAGCACCAAGGTGGAGAAGATCAACATGATGAGGATGTCTCTGCAGAGCCAGAAACTTCAGAGTCCAGTGCACGAGCTAAACAGTCTATTGCTTCCGGTAGACCGAAGAGAGCGACTGCAGGAGTACCTCCACAGAGGTATGGCTTCGAGGACATGGTGGCGTATTCATTTCAGGTTGCTGAGGAAGTGGATGCAGGAGAGCCACAGTCCTATAGAGAAGCAGTTTCGGGTGGTGAAGCCGATCAGTGGCTTGCCGCAATGGGGGATGAGATGGAATCCCATGACAGGAATCAGACTTGGGAGCTAGTCAAACGACCACAGGGAAGGAAGATTGTTACAAACAAGTGGATCTACAAGAAGAAGGAAGGAATCACTTCTAAAGAGGGCATGAAATTTAAAGCTCGGGTGGTTGCACGAGGCTTCTCGCAGAGGGAAGGAGTTGACTACAATGAGATTTTCTCACCAGTGGTCAGACATACTTCGATCAGAGTGCTACTAGCAATAGTGGCACATTATGACTTGGAGCTTGAGCAGCTAGACGTGAAGACAGCTTTCCTGCATGGAGAGTTGGAGGAAGAAATTTACATGACTCAGCCAGAAGGATTCGAGGTTCCGGGAAAAGAAGACTATGTTTGTAAGTTGAAGAAGTCCTTGTATGGACTTAAGCAATCTCCGAGGCAGTGGTACAAGAGATTTGACAGTTACATGCTTGAGCTGGGCTACAGCAGAAGTCCATATGATTGTTGTGTATATCACAACAAGGCAGAGGATGGTTCGATGATATATCTAGTTCTGTATGTGGATGATATGCTCATAGCTGCGAGGTCGAAGTCTGATATCCAGAAGTTAAAGGGGCTTCTCAGTGCTGAGTTTGAGATGAAGGATTTGGGAGCTGCTCAGAAGATCTTGGGTATGGAGATTTACAGGGACAGGTCGAAGAAGAAGCTTTTCTTGTCACAGAAGAGCTACATCCAGAAGATACTGTCGAGGTTTGGCATGTCTTCAGCAAAACCCTTAAATACTCCTAGTGCTTCAAATGTTCATCTATCCTCAGCTTATGCACCGCAGTCAGAGGCTGAGAAGGAGTACATGTCGAGAGTCCCATATGCTAGTGCAGTAGGTAGCTTGATGTACGCTATGGTATGCACTAGACCTGATCTTGCACATGCTGTTAGTGTTGTCAGCAGGTTTATGATACAACCTGGGAAGGAGCATTGGCAGGCTGTGAAGAGGATCTTCCGGTACCTTAAGGGTACACCTGATGTGGGGATTAGCTTTGGAAGTGATGCAGAGTGCTTGGTGTCTGGGTATTCTGACTCGGACTATGCTGGAGATGTTGACACGAGGAGATCGATGATCGGTTATGTATTCACTCTTGGGAGTTCTGTAGTGAGCTGGAAGGCAACTCTGCAGTCGGCGGTGACATTGTCTACTACTGAGGCAGAGTATATGGCGTTGACAGAAGCTGCTAAGGAGGGAATATGGTTGAAGGGACTGGTTGGTGATCTTGGTCTACATCATGATCAGGCAGTGGTGTATTGCGACAGTTTGAGTGCAATATGCTTGGCCAAGGATCAAGTCCACCATGAGAGGACTAAGCACATCGACGTGAGGTATCATTTCTTGAGGACAGAGAAGAGGATTAAGGTGAAGAAGGTTGGCACCGCGGATAATCCTGCTGATATGTTCACGAAGCCAGTTCCACATGGCAAGTTCCAACACTGCTTGGACTTGCTGAATGTCTTGAGTGGGTGACTCCGCCCTACGGGGCATTGATGGCAGGAGAGAGAGAAGGAGCAGAGTACATCAGAGATTTCAGAGGAAGAGGATTCAAGTCAAGGTGGAGATTTGTTGATATGACTTGAATCGGACTATCAGCCGCTACGACTGGTAACCGGGGGTCTCGCTAGATTGGATTAGGTTTAGACCCACATGGAGAAGTACTATAAATACTTCTCATACTCCTCTGTAATCTGTAATCTCTTCAGATATAGTGAAACTGGCTCTCTCTCGCCCGTGGACTAGCTAACACACATCGTGTTAGTGAACCACGTAAATCGTGTGTCTGTGTTCTTTCGATTCTCGCTTTCGTATTCTTGCTTTGTTTATTGTTGTAAAAGTATCCAAAATTCGTATCAGAGCCAGATTTGCAGATCCGATTTTTGTCGCTTCATTTCTACTTCACTGCAGGTGACGTTTTCCTTTAGATATCTCTTTCTTTCAACAATCCTGTTCTCTAATCACTTAATATAGTGTTGCTGGAAATGGGAAGTCTTATTGGCTAACAACGGCAAGGACAAAGCTGAGATGTTTTGAAGTTGAACAATTAGATGACACCTAAAAACAGAGCTTTTGAAAGATTTCCCCCCAAATCAGTCTAAAAACAAATGCGTTCATTCTCAGGATCTGGAAATTAGTGTTTAGTTTCATTAAGTCAACGTAAATCGTGGTATAGTATAAACTCACCAAGAACAAGTGTTTGATTTGCTCTGCATCCATGGAAGCCTCCTGATGGTCTTGTCCGATGGCGAGAAGCGTGTCGAGCATGTCGTTGCCGGAGACATAGCTCCCCGACTTCTGCTTCCCCAGCCGCTCATCGATCACCGAACCAAACAGCTCCAAAACTCTCCTGAAATGATTGCTCATACGCCTCTGTATTCCCTGCAAATCCATCTTGCCCAGAACAGGGTAGTAGTCCCCTAAATTGGGCTTCCCCGCCTCGTCCATAATCCCCCTTGCAACCTCCTTAAACTCCCTGGCAGTCTCAGATCCCTCATCGTCCGCCAAATCCAGCGAAAGAATCGTCGACGACAGAGCATTCAGACTGGCCCTGAACGCTTCCCTCCCAATATCCACCGCTTTTTCCCCCTCACACCCATTTCGTCGAACACCTTCGATTAGCTCTTCAATCTTCCTCCTCCGGAGCTCCTGGTTGGAATCCAGCTTCTGGGTAGTGAAGATGTAGGAGTTGCAGACTTTTCTGAGGTTCCTCCACCTAGATTCGACGGGGAGCCACGGCATGCCAAACTGGTGGTGGTCGCGGGCTTGTATGGCGAGGAGGACCTGGCGGTTGCAGAGGACCTGGTCGTGCTTTTGGAGGATTTCTTTGGCGACGGCAGGGGAAGAAGCGACGATGGTGGTGACTTGGCCGAGCTTGAGGCTCATCAGGGGGCCATGGATCTTGGCCAGATCGGCTAGTGATTTGTGGGGCTGGTCGCCCAGGTTGTGGAGGTTGCCTATGATTGGAAGCTGGGCGGGTCCCGGCGGGAGCTTGCTGGGAGTCTTGCTGGCTTTTCTTGCCAGGAAATGGAAGATGGTGAGGAGAAGGCAAAGCAAGCAACCCTGGAGGAAATCCATTTCTTCGAGGATTGGTTTCAGGAACGGCTTACAGCTTACAGTTGCGCAAAGTATAACACGAGAGAGAGAGAGGATCTGTTAATTAGTGAGGTCTGACTTCTGACAGATTCTACAGATAAGGATATCTCGTTTTGCATCTGAGCAGGGAAGTAGAAAATTTTCATGGTCTCGATTGGAGGGACATTGTCTAGCATTAAAAGAGTTCTGTACTTCTGTTAATGAAGAAAACAATTATTTATCATAACTTTTTGATCCGATTTGGAAGAATCAAAATAATAATAATCACTTCTACTATTCTATACAATATTAGTACTTTAATGTACAATTTGAATTGTATCATAACGGTAAATGTATAAGTTCAGGTTGTACTATCATTATGTTATGGTACAACCTCACAATTTGAAGTTGTACCATCACATAAATGTACGAGTTCAAGTTGTACCATAAAAGAATTTGTACAAAAAGTACAGGTACAATCTGAAGTTGTATCATAACGTTAAAAATACAATTTCAAGATGCACCATAAAGCAAAAACCTACAGCACCAATGCTATATAGCATTGTAAACTTCCTCAATAATAACGTGTCCACGATAAGTTTGAGACATAGATATATCCAAAGAAGAATAGTTGTATTTTTGCTTTTTTCATATGAATGATACTTAAATAGTTCTTAGAGCTTGAGTAGAAAATGAATAATAGGATATTTAGGAAGGGATCTCAATGGAGGAGAGCCTTCGTTTCCTGATTACGATATATATTGTTGTAAACTTGCAGAAGAAGGGAAGTAAACCAACGACTAAGGTACAGTAAAAATAGAAAAACTAACTTTTTGATCATACCAATAGAAACTATACACGTGTTTTACTATCGATTTATTTACTGCTTCAAAGCGGAACACTGCCATTTTGGATTGCTAAAACAAAACCTCGAGATGGCTTCGAGTTAATGAAGAAGGACGACGTTCCAGATATCAAGCTTGAACTCCCCGTGTGCAGAAGCTTCTCTGTTTTGCAGAAGTTCCTTGAAGACCAAGCTGCTCATAATGCTCTTCCTAGAATCAATCGATTTTTCATTATGCCCCCTCAAGTTGGCGAGTGTCTTCTGATACTCCCAGCTTGTACAATCACATCTTGAACCGATCAATTCACAAGCTCTTAGTAAACAAATCTGCAATATGATATGTAGTAGATAGATGATGTAAACGAATTAGACCACTTTGTACTCTTTCTCGTATGACATGACAACCAACCTCTATGTTCTTAATTCTTTTGTGAAACATTGGATTTTTGGTCGGTCAAGTTCAAGCATTGGCGCATAACGGGAGGCTAGCTTAGTAGATTACCCTTCCTGTAGTTCTTGAGTTTAGGAGTTAATGATTTGTGCAAATCTATTTTTTTTTATTAATGGGAGGCAAAAATGCCAAGAGTGAGGCACATAAAGTGCACAACAGCAGATACAAAGCCTAACCGGCTACAGCAGCACGCAAAGACTTAAAGCAGCCGAAGGACAGGAGCAAAAGTATAAACCAGCAAGGATCAATCTTCAGCAGCACTTGGATCTTACAGCACTTGTCTGGGGAACTAATTCCTTGAACGTCTTCTCTCATAATCCTCATAACTTCTAACGGGGGTTCATCTAATTCATATGTACCGAAGCGATAGACGAGACTGTGCTTCGAGAGCCAGTCCGCGGCTCTATTCCCTTCGCGATACGTATGAATTAGTTGAACAACCCATCCTTGCGCAATCATGCGACGAATGGCTCCTAGAAGAGTAGCATAAGGATGCGCTGTATCTGTCCTCTTCTCAAGCAGTTGCAGTGCCAGTTGTGAGTCTGATCTGAACTCTGTTATCCGAAGCCAATTTCAAACCCTGAAAGATGCCCCACAATTCAGCCATTAGAGCATTACCTGAACCAATTTTACTACAAAATCCTCCTATCCAATCTCCATGACAGTCTCGTAATACACCTCCTGTTGTGATGATTCCTGAAGTGCCTTGGGTTGCACCATCAGTATTAATTTTGAACCATCCTGCTTTTGGAGCATTCCACCCAATCAAGCTGGCCGTCCAAATAGGTTTGTCCACCAGGTTCATGTTGCTGCTTGCTGACTCCCAAGCATTAATCCATTCTTTAGCCTCGACCGTAACATAGTTGTGAAGAGTGGAGGGGGTTAACTTGATTCCCTTGAAGATATGATCAATCCTGCACTTCCAAATGTACCAGATTAACAGGCTAAAATAACTCTGCCAATTTTCCTGCAGCTGACTTGTCAAATTGGAGCGGATCCAATTATCATAATTAGTACTGAAGAAAGGTTGTAGGCTGGCCGGTTCGATGACTTTGTCCCAGACAGCCCTTGCCATCTTGCAATCTCTTAGAACATGGAGGCTGGTCTCCGCTTTATCTTTACATTCAGGGCAGGATTCATCATTTGTGAGGTGCCTATGTTTACGGATGTTGTTGGTCATGAGCTTCCCCTTCACTGCCAACCAAGTAAAAACCCTCACTCTTTCTGGTACTTGTAGCCTCCAAATCTCTTTCTATATATTTGGCAGTGTAGTCTGCTGTTGATGGAGTAGAGCATCATAAGCTGATTTGGTGCTAAATTGTCCATTAGCAGTAAGATTCCAAGTTGGTTTGTCTTTCTCCATAGCCATTGGATCCACCATTACTGACCGAATTTTATCAACGATGACGGAATGAAGCAGGTGTTGAAAATCCGTAAGCTTCCAGCCATGTCCCGGGTCCCAGAGATCAACTACTAAGCAGCTTCTCATGCTGTCTGGAACATCTGCAGTAGCCACCTCAATCAATGGTACCTACAAAAGCCAAGGGTCGAGCCAAAATTTCGTGTTACGACCACTTTTTATGTTCATCACATAGCCCTTTTTAAGCACATTACGGGTGGAAGCAAAACTTCTCCAGGCAAGAGAACTTCCCTTTAGATTTTTCAAAATCTGTAGGCCATTTCTGGTCTTCCCGTACTTGCCTTTAGGAACTTGAGCTCAGAGGGAATTATCATTTGTAACCAGCTTCCAACCATTTTTTGCTAGCATGGCTTGATTAGTTCTTCTGCTTGATCTAATGCAGCTCCTCCTTGGGCTCTAGGCAAGGTCATCTCCTCCCAGTTGACATTATGGAATTTAGTTTTTCCCTCTTCTTCACCCCACACAAACTGCCTGTTACATTTATCAAGAGTGTGACAGATAGAAGAAGGAAGAGCTTCTGTAAACATAGGATAATTTGCCATACATGCTGAAACAGATCTCACCAAATTAATTCTCGCGGCTAGAGATAGGTAGCGGGTTTTCCATGTAGCCAGCTTCTTTTGAATCTTTAGGCACATCTCTTCATACCTGGATTTTGAAACCCTTTCAATGATTGTATGCAGCCCCAAGTATTTCCCCAAGTCATTAGTGAGTGGAATTCCCGCTTTGTTGGTGAGAACTTGGGCTCTGTAACGAGGTATGTTAGCTGATACTAGTATTGCAGACTTCGCAAGATTAACACTCTGACCAGACCTGGCACAAAATTCATCCAGGCATTTCCTAATTATCTCAATTTGGTTCCCCTTCGCTTCTGCAAAAAGGATGAGGTCGTCAACAAAGAAAAGATGTGACAATTTTGGGCCATTAGGGGTTAGAGATAGAGGTTTCCACTCCCTTGCCGCTGCTGTTTTCTCAATACGATGAACTAAGCGTTCCATACATAAGACAAACAGGTAGGGCAAGAGTGGATCTCCCTGACGAACTCCTCTGGTGGGGGTGATGATGTCCGTAAGTCTGCCATTCCAGTTAATCTTCATCCTGTTACTTTCAACACAAAACATAATACGATTAATCCAGGAACTGGGAAGGCCAATTTCAGCTAAAGTATCTCTAATAAAATCCCATCGAAGCTTATCATAAGCCTTCTCTAAGTCTACTTTGATGACCAAACCACCATTTTCCCCTTTCTTACGCCTCAGAGAGTGGAGAACTTCCTGTAATATGATGATATTGTCATTAGTTTGCCGCTTAGGGATGAAGCCACTTTGAGTAGGTGCCACTAATTTGCTCATAAGGGGTTTTAGTCGATTGGTGATGGCTTTGGTGATAGCCTTCAAACCCACATTGTTGAGGCAAATGGGCCGGAATTGTGTCGGGGATTCAGGATGAGCTACTTTGGGGACAAGCACAATGGTAGATTCGGTTAATTATGCAGGGATATAGCCTGTTTCAAAAAAACGAACAACCATGTTAGTGAGATTTTTCCCAGCTGAACTCCACAATTTTTGGAAGAAAATTGCTTGAAACCCATCAGGTCCGGGAGCTGAAAGGGGTTTCATTCCAAAAATTGCTTTGTGAAAATCATTGATGGTGAAAGGGCGAAGGAGGCAGATGAGATCCTCCTGGCTTAATCTAGGAAAACAATTTTTGGGCATCTCATCCTGGTACTGAGTAGCCTCTTGAGTATAAAGTTTGGTGAAGAAGTCAACAATAAGATCTTCGATCTTCTGAGCATCTTCTTCCCAGTCGCCATATTCATTGCGCAGAGTGAGGATCTTGTTGCGTCTTCTCTTGCGAGTGGCTTGTTGGTGAAAGTAGGCAGTGTTTTGTTCTTCAAGCTTGACATATTTCTCCTTAGCTCTTTGAAACCACATGACTTCTTCCTGAGAGAGGAGGGTATCCAGTTCAGCTTCTAGCTTTGCCTGAAGTTTCACCAGACCAGGGTTGAAATTTGTAGCTATCTTGGTCTGCACCCCTTGAATTCTGGCTATGATTCTCCTCTTGCGGTGCTGGAGAATCCCGAGTACATTTTTATTCCAATCTTGAAGCTTGATCGAGATTTCCTGTAGAGCTTTATCGAGTTCCAGATCACTTTTCCAAGCCCCTGCGAAGAACTCAGCAAACTTGTTGTGAAGTAATCAAGCCGCCTCAAATCTGAAGGGCTTGTTATTAGAAAGATTAGAAGTGCTGGAATTCGAAGAGGTAAGTATAGGAAGATGGTCAGAGTGTAACTTAGGCAAGTGGTGAACAGTAGAGTTCGGAAAGAGCAGGTTCCATTCAGCATTGAATAAAGAGCGATCGATAC